AAGCTGTGTGGTGGCTCGTGATTGTGTGCCCAGCCAGACTGCGGCATGTAACTAATGTGTGTTTAGATAAACTGAGACTGATAGGAACTGGGAGAGTCTAAAGTCCAAATGCCTGGTCCTCCTCCTTTTTTTAATGGTTATTACTGGTACATTACAGTTGTTTATAACAATGGGCATTTATTGTGACATTCATATACACACATAACAATTTGATCAATATCATTCCCTAGTACCTCCCCTTTCCCTTCCCTCCTTCCTCCCCTGATTCCCTTCCTCTATCTTTACTCTACTATCTCCCTTCCAACACTTTTTAAGTGGGATTCCATGTGGTATACATGGATATATCATAATTTGGTCGATTTTGTTCCTTAGTACCTCTCCTTGTCCTCCCCTCCTCCCTCCCTCTGGATCTCTATTGAATTCCCTCTGGTTTTGTGAGACCCATTTTTTTTCTCTCTCTTTAGCTTCTGCATTTGAGAGAAAATATTTGACCTTGACTTTCTGAGTCTGGCTTATTTCACTTAGTCTTTTCCAGTGCCATCCATTTTCCTACCAAAGCCATAATTTCATTTTTTTATGGCTGAGTAAAACTCCATTGTGTATATATACCACATTTTCTTTATCCATTTATTTGCTGATGGATACCTAGGCTGGTTCCATAACTTGGCTATTGTGCAGTGTGCTGCTATAAACCTTGGTCTGTAGAATCACTATAGTACGCTGATTTTAGCCCTTTGGGGTAAATACCAAAGAGTGGGATAGTTGGGTCATTAGGTAGTTCTGTTGTAGTCTTTTGAGGAATCTCCATACTAATTTCCATTGTGGTTGTACTAATTTGTAGCTCCACCAACAATATATGAGTCTGAGTTTTCCCCCACATTCTCATCTCATCAGCATTATTTGTTATCTTGACGGTTGCCATTCTGAGTACAGTGAGATGAAATTTCAGTGGAGGGTGGTTGCTTTTTAAAAAAAAAAAAATTTGCACCTGGATGGGAACATATCAGTTTTGATTCATCTTTTCCTGATTGCTAAGGAGGTTGAACATTTCTTCATATATTTGTTGGCTATTTGTAGTTCTTTCAATAAATGTTTAGTTCATTTGCCCATTTACTGATTGGTCCTGCTGTTGTTTTTAAATCTTGGTAAAGCCAAACAGAGAGTGGCAGCCCTACATTTAAATTTTCTGGAATATGTTGACGCATCAGCCTGAAAACATTACTAACATAGTAGGTTGTATGTTAAGGTGAAGATGAGAAGAAGATATACAGTCTTTAGAAATGTGTCTAAAAAACAACTAAAAACGATTTTGGACAAATTTCCACTGACCTAAGAAAGGTAGAAGTGTTAGGCAACTATTAGAAACAGACATATGTCTTGGAGAAACTGCACACATTAAACTTTTTGAAACTACCAAATGCATTAGTGGCTGTTTTATTGAGCAGTTCCTAACACCTATATTTTTTTCCCTTCCTTTTTGTGGTACTCTCATGAAGAAATGTGTTTTGTGGAATTCATTGATAGTGGGGGCTGGTTGTCAGTTCAGGATAGATTCTGACCTGTGGTAATATGAAATACTTTCTCATTTACTCAGCCAGTGATAACTAATTTGTATGTCATTGGATCCCAAGGTGATTATTTGGAGGCCGTAGAAAACTGAAAGTTGTATCAAAGGAGTATTGGGAAAAGAGAAAAAGAAAAAAAAAAAAAAAGATCAGGATGATATCATGCACTTTGCTCCTGAGGAGTACTGTGGTGATGGAAAAGTGTTGCAGATCAGGTGATGGTGTGTAGAAAAGCAGCCCCACAAAGCAGGCCCCTGACCACTGGCATCCTAATGCCACAGGCTGGGCTCACATCTGTTGTCAACCATTTTGACATGACTATCTCCAAAAAGCTTTAACAGACCCCCGGCCCCCACATTCTATAAAGATAGCAAGAGCTCTTTTATGAAACCAATATTGGGAATAGGGACCTAAATGTCAGTCCATACCATATTTAGCTCACTTTTGGCACTGGTTATGTTTATGAACCTTTAGCCACTGGTACATTCGAATCTCCCCAAACAAGTACTATTTTAATAGATTTTTCAATCTATATATTCAAAGGGAACTCCAGAGAGGAAGATGGGAGGGAGAAATGAGGCATTGAACAGGAAGAAGAGGGGTTTTTTTTGTTTGTTTGTTTGTTTTTTGGTACTGGAGTTTAAACTCAGAGCTCTATTACCAGTCCTTTTTATTTTTATTTTGAGACAAAGCCTTGCTAAGTTGCTGAGGCTGGCCTCAAGCTTTCTGTCGTTCTGCCTCAGCCTCCTGAGTCACTGAGATTACAGGCATGTACCATGCCCAGCAAGAAGACATCCTTTGTCTCATAGATTTGTTGTTTGGGAACTTCCAAAAGGATAATAAAATGGAAACCTCATTAAATAGGATACTGAAGGGATAGTGCAGTTTAATTGACAGGTTTTACTTTTGGTCTTTAAATAGTTAGCAGGTAGTCTTTTTTGATACCATCCTATATTATTATTGATTGTCTTCAGAAATGCCTGTTTGGATTTCCCTGCTTTAGAAATGTGGATAGGATTAGAATCTCCTATTTGAGTAGTAGGGCTAGTTGGCTGAAGGTGTCTAACCATGCTGAGAAACCATGTCTGTTGTCTCAGAACATGAGAATGTAGGGAGCTCAGAATCACCAGATCCCAGGAGAATCTGGAGGGTAGGATGGGTTAGAGCATGTATAATTGACAGTGCCTTTTCCCCTAAGAACTCTTGGCTGGGCAAAGGGTGAAGTTGGACTTAGTCTAAATATTCATTACTCCTAAAGTTTAGAACATGAAAACAGAGTCCAGGGCCTCAACTACACTCGTGTCCCAGTAAGGCAAGCCACACACTCCATGGGGCCATAAGACCAGGCTTCCCTCAATATCATCTTTTTAATTTTCAAGAAGTTTCATAGGATAAATGACCTCGTATATGCCCTTGAAGATCTTTTGTTTAAAATTCCTACAGAGGTGGGTGCATTGGCAAATGTTTGTAATCCTGGCAACTTGGGAGGCTGAGGTAGGAGGATTACAATTTTGAGGCCAAACTCAGCAACTTAGACCCTGTCTCAAAAAAAAAAAAAATTTATAAGGGACTAGGGAAGCAGCTCAGTGCATGGGTTCCATGTCTAATACCCCCCCAAAAAAATCCTGTTGATTATTTCTTCACACTGAATATAGGCTTTTCAAAGTGGGGGCCATTCCCTTTGGTATGATTCTAAAAGGTACCCGCTTTTCATCAAGTGCAGCTCAGCTTCTGTATAACCACGGTGACACCTGACTAGTGAGTAGGGATTGGTGGCAGCTAGAGAGTGGATGGTCAACCATCATGGAACAGATAGAGCAGACATAGCAATAGCTGCAGGGACCAAGTCCAATTTATCAGCTACAACTGCACAATATTAAAGGAAGACAGTATTAAAGGAAGGAGGAGAGAGTCAAAGCAATAAGCCAAGCCAGAGTTTGGCATATAGTTGGAGCTCACTAGAAGAAGGTTATGGCATTAACTTTCCTAAGATAATTAGCAATAAGGAAATAGCTTCTCCTGATGCAATTGAAAATAATAAGGACATATGGAGTCACCTGTTGAGTTGTGTTGTTTTGCCTATGATGACATTAAATGCTCGATATACTCAATCAATCCTTTTTTTTCTCTCTCTCACCAAAGGTTTGGTTCAAGAACAGGAGAGCCAGGTGGAGGAGACGACATAGGGCACCAAGATTCAGAAATGTGCCCTTCATGTGCCCAGGCCACCCTGTCACCATAATCTCGAGTGGCCCCTATAATACCATGTTCATTCTGAAGCCAGATGGGACATGGGTTCGTCTGGAGCCACTGCTGCTCTGGTCGCCCCTGTTTCCCCTGCCACCCATGATGCCTCTGCCACCCATAATGCCTGTGCCGCCCCTGATGTACCTGCCTCCTCTGATTCGCCTGCCGCATCTGATTCACCTGCCACCCCTGACACCCTTTCCTCACCTGTTCTTGCCTCCTCTACCTTTGTTTCTCCCGCCTTTGCCTCCTTTTGGCCTGGCTTCATTTAACTTGGTCTCTATTGTCATTGCCAACAATTCATTTGTACTCCCCATTTACTGAGGAGTAGTCTGTGGGACCTGTATTTTCCAAAGTGCTTTGCAAATAGATACAAATTTTTCATAGAACACCATCAAGAGCAATTTACCAAATGCATGTTAGATGTGTTAAATAAAACTTTAGTCATTGACTCATTTAGCACTTGTTTTTTGCATTTCAATAAAGATATGAAATCTATGTATATTTGTTTTGTGTGCCCCTTGGGATTAGTAAACTATGGATGAAAAGTGTCATTCAAACCAAAGGTGAAGAGGCCTCTATTCATGCAGTTAGATCATGGGGTCACCATCAGGCTGTGCAACCACACAAGCTTCCCAAGTGCCCATGGCAGGTTTACAAAGACACAACCTCTTCCACCCCCCTCCACCATTGCATACTCACCCCATCCTACCCCATGGGGACCACATGCATGTGCAAGATACAGGGGGCAGGGGTCCCTAAGGAAGAATAGTGTTTCAAGGCAGAGTCAAGATCCATTCGTGCTGATGAGCTCAGGCCCAACAGACTCTAGGGGAAGCTGTCTAGGGGGCTACTGTTAGGGCTTTAGAGCCAGGCACTTACCTGGTGCCCGCCAAGTTCTATTCCCTGCTCTGCTTTTTTTGAGGAGGAGACATGGGAATGGAATCCATGCTTTCAGGAGGATCCTGCCTCTTCAAAGGAAACCAAAGGATACTCCTTCCAGGTGAGGGTGAGGTTTTTGTCCCTTCCTGATCCATTTACCCCCAAGACATGAAGCAATATTACACCTTCCCCAGCTCAGAAGTTGAATGTCAACACCTTCAAATGCTTTCTCTCACCTTCAACATCTTTTCAAGAACCTTAGTTCCAGCTAATTAAACCCTGAAAGGGGACCTCTTGGTTCAGTGCCGTTGGAAGCAAGAAGATGGTCCCTGATAAATGATCAGGAATAATCCTTTCATTTAAATGAAGCATCTTGGCTTCGTTCATGCCATCTTCATGTAAAACTGCCATGGTGGAAAACAACTAAGACGAAATGAAAGTATCATGAAGGAAACCAATCCCATTTTTTTAGTTGTAGTTGGACATAATACCTTTATTTTATTTATTTATTTTTATGTGGATCGAACCCAGTGCCTTGCACATGCTAGGTAAGCACTCTACTGCTGAGCCACAACGCCAGCCCCCAATCCCACTTTTGAAAATCATTAAGTTCTCTCTAGCAGTGTCAGGCTTCATAAAGATAGTTGTCCATTCAAAGTGCCAATGGAGGGCTGGGGTTGTGGCTCAGTGGTAGCATACTTGCCTGGCATGTTTGAGGCACTGGGTTAGATTCTCAGCACCACATATAAATAAATAAAATAAAGGTCTATCAACGATTAAAAAAAAATTTTAAAGTGCCATTGGAATTTATGACACTGAACTGTGCACTTTATAATGGTTATAATAGCAAAACTTATGTTAATTATTTTTTACCACAGCAAAAAGAAAGAAAAATATACCACTAAAATTTAAAAAGCAATTAATTGGGAACACCGTGGCTGTAGTGTAAAGTGATTGCCATGTTTGCAGATAAGGAGCCACAGCTCTTCTGGAATTTATTTTCATGGGAATTAATCATAGGCCAATTTCACAATGCTTGTTTCCAACCTGAAGGAAGGTTCTGGTGGGAGTGCATGTATTTTTTGCTTACCTGTCAGTGTTTTTCATTCCTATTTTCTCTCCTACCTTTATAATTGTGGGCATGAAGTGTCAGCAAAGCAACTGCTTATAATGTACAACCTTTGCAGATAGGAATTCATTACTACACCAGAGGCCTCAGATCCTAGGGGTTAGTGAGGAACGTCCATGAATACACTATGTACTCATGTGATTGTTTGTTTGTTTTTGGCAAAGAGGAGATATATTTTGTTGTTGTTGTTTTGCTATTGTTCCCATTATATTGTGCTTTGTATAATTGTTTATAGAAATCCTGAATGTCGCCCCTTAGTCATCAAATCTATCCTTTCCAGCTTTAACAGAAGTTTTCCTGGAGCAATGGGTCCCACACCTCCAGGAGTGGAGGAAAAAAAAGCTTCAAATGTGCATCTGCAGAGTCCTGGGTGAGAGGTCCAGGAGTCCAGTTATCAGTCTGATTTTACCCAAGTCATGGCATCTGTTAAATTTTAAATTTTTGCATTTGCTACGGATGGTAAGGAAGACTTCAGTCAAAGTCTGGAAATGGTTTCTGCTTCATATTTTTTGTACCATTTGACTACTTCCTGTCTTCATCATTGAAATACCTCGACTTCAGGATTGGAGATGTGGCTTAAGTGGCAGCTTAAGCTTGCCTAGCATGTGTGAGGCACTGGGTTCGATTCTCAGCACCACATAAAAATAAAATAAAGACATTGTATCCACCTAAAACTAAAAAATAAATATTAAAAAAAAAACACTTCTGAAGAAATTCCAAAAAGAACAAAGAAAGGAAACAAGAGGAGGATAGAAATTGAAATCATACTCTCTTCTCCCCTCCCTGGGGTGATCAAAATCAAAAACTTTTACAGTATCTAAAAACTTTCCTATATATCCTAGAAAAGGAGATTGTCTATAATAACTTGGCTTTATTTTTCACCTGTCTCATAAGTTTCCTCTTAGGACCAAATCTGACAAGTTGTCTGGCTTTTGGCAGACTAAATTCTAAACTTCTAAGGCAAAACTCTTGTACCTTAAACAAATAAAAGCAGTAGAATTAGAGTCAGAATACCCTTTCACTTAAAAAATGTATTAAATAAATTGAAAGAGAACTTGAACCACTTATTGTTGAGATAGTATATGATGGAACTCGTTCAAGGTGCTGGGTAGGGAACAGGTTACAATTTCTATATGCTAGGGCATATTGGTGGAGATAGTTCTGTTTAAACTGTCACCTCCATATTTTTTTAAATATACATATATATTTTTAGTTGTCAATGGACCTTTATTTAGTTAATTTGTTTATTTATATGCAGTGCTGAGAATTGAACCCAGGGCCTCACACATGCCAGGCAACTGCTTTACCCCTAAGCTACATCCCAAGCCCACTCCATATTTTTATTAGTATTTTGCATCTGTTACATCCTTTACTCTGTGGCAAGCAATTGAATGATTTTCTTGGATGATTTTATTTGGTGGTCATACACTATTAGGATTTCCTAATAATGAGGTACTAGTATCCCCATTTAAAGAAGAGGAAGTGTTTGCCCACGGTCTCAAAGCTAATAAAACAACCAGGATTGGCAGCACCACATAAAAATAAAGATTGTATCTATCTAAAACTAAAAAATAAAATATTAAAAATAAATAAAATAAAGGTATTGTGTTTATATATTTTTTTTTAAAAAAAAGGCTTAGGGAGGAAGGGGGAGCCCAAGGACAGGGATGGGCAGAGGCTGCTGCAGAGCCTCCCCATAGGTCCAGAAACAGTGAGCTGCCAGGGTCCCATGGAGTGATGTGGGTGGGAAAACAGCTGTACAGATTGCTGCAGTGGGTCTTGCAGTGTGGGGAGAGATTGGGCTCAGCTTTAACACAGCATGACTAAATGGGAATTAATTTCCAAGGAGCACGGTGTGGCTCAGTGGATGGAAAACTACGAAGTGCAACAGTGGTCCATGGAACGTTTTGAATATAGTTACGGCTCTGCCTCTGAGACTTGTTTCAAAATGAACAGGTTTTTTCCTCTTCTCCCTCGCCCGCCCCCCAAGCCTCTATCCCATCATAGGCGCCTTAAGCACACACCCACCAAAGGAACACAGTAATTCAGACTTCAGGGATGGCCCAGAAGACCTGAGAAATGGCCAGTTTCCAAATTAACAAGTGAATTACAAACACACACCCTAATCTCAGGGCCCACCTAGAATGTAGCATTTGATTCACCTCTTTAAAAATCCTGGGGTCATGTCCCACCCACCCCCAAAGGTTGGGATAAGCTTATTCCAAAATCACAAAAGAATCACAGCTTCTGTGACCACAGTGCCCTGTGTTTCTCCTTTGCTAGCAAAGCAGTAAAACTTATTTTTCCTTTTTCTCAAAACCATATCCTCACTGGGGACAAGGACTGAGCTTTTGGTAACATCAGCAGAGAGAATTTTGAGATGTATAAAATTTGGATGCTGAGTGTGTGTGCCTGCAGTGGGGACAATGATCCAAATTGAAGTGCATGTATTGTCTGACTTACTCCTGGATTAAAGAAAAGTCACAATTGGTTACCAAGAAAAAGGACAGATTATTTTAAAATTCTCTAAGTTATTGACAATATCTTTATTTTACTGTTGCAAGATTAAGCAAATAAAACAAAAATACATAGCTCACATTAAATTTGTATTGCAGAAAAAAATGTATTTTGGAATAAGCTTATCCCAACCAATATTTGTGAGGGAATTATAAAAATATTAATCATTATTTATCTGAATTTCAAATTTATTTGTCAGTCCTGTGCTTTATCTGGAAGTTCAAGTTTATCTGGCATTAATCAAACTCAATGAAATAAAAAAGTTGATGGCTTTTAATTTTTTTTTTCATATTTTTATCTCTTGGCTTTTGTTGTCGAACCCAGTGCCTCACTTGAGCTACATCCCCAACCTCTTTATTTTATTTTTATGTGCTGTTGAGGATCAAACCCTGCGCCTCATACATGCTAGGCAAGCACGCTACTGCTGAGTCACATCCCCAGTCCCCCTATGTCTATCTTGATGTTTGCCTTTGACTGAAGTCTTCCTTACCATCCGTAGCAAATGCAAAAATTTAAAATTTAACAGATGCCATGACTTGGGTAAAATCAGACTGATAACTGGACTCCTGGACCTCTCACCCAGGACTCTGCAGATGCACATTTGAAGCTTTTTTTTCCTCCACTCCTGGAGGTGTGGGACCCATTGCTCCAGGAAAACTTCTGTTAAAGCTGGAAAGGATAGATTTGATGACTAAGATTTTGAGTACCCTCTGAAGTTGGGCTAGAAGGCCTCTTCTAGGCCTTTTAAATTTTTTTTTTTCAGTTGTAGATGAACACAGTATCTTTATTTTATTTACTTATTTGTATGCGGTACTGAGGATCGAACCCAGCACTTCACACATGTGAGGCAAGTGCTCTACCACTGAGCTACAACCCCAGCCCTTCCTGACTGCCTTAAGTGGGGAAATTCCTGAGCTGGAAAATGTTTCCCTTGGTCTTTATGAGGCCTTTCTGTTTTATTTGATCCTATTTCTCCCATGGGAACATTTCAGCTAACTTAAACCTCCTTATTGAGCCCCTACTGACTATATATTCTTCCAGTTCTGTCTACTTCCTTTTTAAGGCATGATTTGGCTGAGGAAAATTTGGAATATCATTGAACTCTTGGGGACCTCTCCCTTCCTACTGGTTCTGCTCCTCCTACCTGGCCTCCATGAGATTGATTTTTGTTTCTTTGGAAGCAGCAGGACCTCTGGACAACAGCTGCTAGTGGCCACATGCACCATAAAAATGGAGGGCAGTGAGGGGCTGGGATTGTGGCTCAGCGGTAGAGCGGTCGCCTAGCATGGGCGGGACTGGGCTTCGATCCTCATCACCACATAAAAATAAAGGCATTGTGTTGTGTCCATCTACACCTAAAAAATAAATATTAAAAAAAAAAAAACTTTAAAAAAATGGAGGGCAGTGAAGAGTTTGGAGCTAACAACATGAATGTTCAGTTGCCACCTTCCCATAAATCCTTGAGTTTCCCTTTAGGGAATTTCTCAGACCAGGATTCACAGTGAACTCAGCATGGCTGGAACTTGGCCCTCTGTGAAGACACACTGTTCTCTTGCTAGAGACTTGGCCTGCCCCTCCTTGCACATGTAGAGGTTCTGCTTCTCCTGAGATGTACCAGGACCTCAGGTACAGCAAGGCAAGTGCTCCCCTATTGAGCTAAAGCCCTAAGCTTAGAAGGTATTTAAACAGAGTGGGGGTGACAATGGCATGATGGGAGAGGGAACATAGATGAATATATGGGTCAGTGTAGACCCCCATGAAACTTGGGAAAAGGTGAAGTACAGGGCCTACTGATGGTGACCCAGGCATGTCACCTCATGAAAGAAAAACTCCTTGTTATTATGCTGAAACATCCCTGTCAGGTCGATGGAGGTGGCTCAGGAACAAAGCACCAAGCAACCCGCACGTGTGAAAAAAACTCCAATCAGGCACTAATAGAACCGCTTGTCAATCAGCGGGGTTTCCTAGCCAATCCTAGATCTTAGCCATCTCCCCCAACCAACCCCAATAGGACAAGGGACTCTAAAAACCCTTTTTCCTGTCTCAAACCCTGCCTTCCTGCCTTAAGCCCAGTAAAAGTTCCAGTCTGGTCAAGCCCCCTGCACTTCTCCTTAGACCCAATATGTTGGTCTGAGGGTACAGCCCGGGAGTGAAATCTCAATAAAGCCTCTATCAGCGGCCTTTTTAAATCTGCCTCCTTTTGATTCGCTGCTGCCTGACCTTACAGTCCCTCCTGGAAAAATTCACATCATGTTTTAAATACCCCAGCATGCACATGAAAACAAATGTATTGATAACTCACTTCTTTATTGCTAATATAAGTGCTTTATTGCTAATATAAGTGTCTTGGGCATCAACAGTAGCCCATGTATCAGTTGCAGCAGGTAAACCCATCTCTACTCTGGCTCTTGAAAGATGGCATTCTAGTTATTTTTCATGTTTGCCAGGAACATGTGGTCCTGGGAACTAGATGATGCATCTTCAAGCATTAATTTCCTCTGATGTTTCCTATATTTGGCTCTCCTGTTGTTAAACCAAACCTGCAATAAGAGAGGAAAAGGTATTGATTGGTTTAGTATATTGAATAGTAAATGTCATAATGTGGGAAAAAAAAACATTCAGCATTATAGGTCACTTAGATTTTAAACTGTACAGTAGAAACTATTCCTGCAGGGAATGGAACTCCAAGCCTCACATATGCTAGGGAAATGCTCTTGCACTGAGCTATATGCCCATCTCCAGAGGCTGTTGTGTTATTGTTTAAATACCTTCTAAGCTTAGGGCTTTAGTTCAATAGGGGAGCACTTGCCTTGCTGTACCTGAGGTCCTGGGTTCCATCTCTAACACCCTACACCCCCTCCTTTAGTTCACCCTTTTTGTTGGGAGGGGGTACTGGGAATTGAACTCAGGGGCACTCAATCACTGAACTACACCACCAGTCCTATTTTGTATTTTATTTAGACACAGGGTTTCACTGAGTTGCTTAGCCACTGTTGAGGCACGCTTTGAACTCATGATCCTTCTGTCTCAGCCTCCCAAGCCGCTGGGATTACAGGTATGCACCACCATGCCTGGCTAGCTCACCCTTACTGTGCACCAGGTCTAGCCCTGCTCTAGAAGATGCCAAGTACTTTGGCTCTCTCTCCTCTATTTTATTTTTTTATAATGGGGATTGAACCCATTGGTGTTTTTCAATGGAGATACGGTCCTGGCACTTTTTTAAAATTTTTGAGACAGGAACTAGCTAAATTGCGGAGGCTGTCTAAGAACTTGCCATCCTCCTGAGTCACTGGGATTACAGGCCTGCACCACAACACTCAGCTATTCTCCCAATTTTAATATTCTTTATTGGTTTCTTGCATGGATTGGATGCAGGTCTAGCTTGTGAGTTGCTCCAGGTCCATAATTCTAATTGCATGCCTTTTAATCAGATAAAGCACATTCTGCATCCTGACAGCTATTGGTCTGTCCAGCTATCCTCACTAGGAATAGTTTCATCCTATGTGTGGGGACATTAAGACACCACAACATGTGGATCCTGTTTAAAGTAGGATGGAGGGGAATGGCTCCATGTTTGAAAAGCCCATGTTCAGTGTATCTACGTTTCCTAAATAAATCTGTCTATGCCTTTCCTTGGCATATGCTGAAATTCTTTCCCAACACAAATGCCAAGAACCCCACTGGTCCTGAGTCAAGTTCCCCCTTCTCTCTGGGAACTCCTCAGGCACTTTATTGGAATATGTCCTCTGTAAAGTACCACAGACCAAATCTCTATAAAAACCAAAGCCCATAGTGTGTTGGGGGCATGGGCTGATATTAGGTCTGTAATTCTAAGATTGGTTTCCTAAAAGAGAAGGGGAAACCATGTACTGAGTTTTTTTGGGAAATTAATGGTACAGAATTTGGAAATGGATAACATTTAGACTTTTCCCTCATTTGTCTCCTGTAGCTCAAGTTCCCTTTAGAACTCCAGAGAGACATGTGATCCAGGGAAGGCAAAAGCAACTCATCAAACCTTGAGATTTTCTTTTCTTCTGACTTTGCCTTACCACCCTAAGAAATGCTCACAACCGCTTCCCAACTTCTCCCACCTGAGCCAGGCTTGACTGTGCAGCCTGGCATGTGGCATTAGTACACCAGTGCTCAGTGGCTTGCTTTGTGAAGCTACTTTTCTGGGCACCCACCATCATGTCCACAGCCTTTTTCCATCACTGTACTCACACATGCACGCTGCAACAAAGCTAATAATAAGGTCATCCTGACGTTTCCTTTTTTGCATTTATCACTTGGTTTTTGTTCTTGTGTAGTCACTGTTGACAAATGACCTGCCTACATATAGTCATTACTGCCTGAAGGAATGAAAAATATCTGTAATTATTACAGATACCCTGAAAAGAGGGCCACACCCTCAAATGTATTTCACAATACCTAAGTTTAAAATAGAACCACAAAAAGAGAAAAATAGCAGGGCGTGGTGGTACACGCCTATAATCCCAGCAGCTTGGGAGGCTGGGGCAGGAAGGTTGCGAGTTCAAAGCCAGCCTCAGCAAAAGTGAAGTGCTAAGCAACTCAGTGAGACCCTGTCTCTAAATAAAATACAAAATAGGGCTGGGGATGTGGCTCAGTGGTGGAGTGCCCCTGAGTTCAATCCCCGGTACGAGAGAGAGAAAGAGAGAGAGAGAGAGAGAGAGAGAGAGAGAGAGAGAGAGATTGATTGATTCAAGACTTATGTATGCATTTCAAACCAGGACAGGTAGAAATTTACACTAAAATGAGGGCTATGTTTGGGAAAAGATATTCCACGCAACCCACCTCTTCAAAATACTACCACCAAAATAGAAAAATACATCTTAGAAAATATGGACTGAAGGCCACTTATGCACTTATTGTGGAAGCTACAAGGTTTATTTTAACCATATGCAAATTTTGTTCTTGAACATTTTTGTCCTTCTTAGCTAAAGTGAAATTAACTCAGTATTTTTTTTGTTGAGTCATTCTTTGGACAAATTTCCCAACTTTTGCAAACCTTTGCCCTATTGCTACCATAATATTACCATTTGAGTAATGTTTTCAGGTAGATATGTCACAGAATACAAGAAAATTAAAATTGAGGGCTGCCCCTGTCTGTCACTTTATCAACATGTACAAACACAAGTAGAAGAACTAGGTACTTGTGCTTTTCAGGTAGCTTCCCCCATCAGTCTCAGCTTAATCTATGCTACTTAAATATAGAGTGTGTGCTTTCAATGAATTATTCTCATCACAGCATTTATACATTCATTCAGCAAACTTAGGGCTTATACTTGGTTCAAATAATTTAGAACAAGTCTCTTAATTCTCTCCTCTCCCTCTCCCCACCCTCCCTCTCTCTTTTTTGTGGCACTGGAGATTAACCCAGGGCCTTGTGCATGTGAGACAAGCACTCTACCAACTGAGCTATATCCCTAGCCCTCTCTCTCTTAATTCTCTCCATAAATTTGAATACATCCAAGGTCAAACCTAGGCCCATCCTTACTCCTCACAAAAGTGATTTCTAACGGATGGCAAGGTAGAAGATGAACTTTATTTTTGAATATGTATCTATATATACTTACTATATATGTAATTATACACGTATATTTTATTTATATATAATTTTGTACACAGAAATGCAGAAGTAGTTTTTTTGTTGTTGTTGTTTCCTTGAGGAAATAATATTCCTTCTGGTAATGGGAAAGAACCACAAATTCACTTTTTTTGTTTTGGTACTGAGGGTTGAAACCAGGGGCACTTAAACACTGAGCAATATCCCCAGCCCTTTTTTGTATTTTATTTACTGACAGGGTCTTGCTGAGTTGCATAGGGCCTCGCTAAGTTGCAGAGGCTTGCTTTGAACTCACAATCTTCCTGCCTCAGTCTCCCAAGGCACTGGGATTACAGGTGTGCACCACTGCACCAGCACAAGCTCACATTTATCATCCTATTTTCCATCCATTGAAACTCCAAAGTTCAATATTAGTTAGTCTACTTCAGCAAGACAATTAAAATAACACCAACTTAAAATATCTGCATGTTTGATTATATCAAAATGAACCCCATTATTATATATACTTATAATGAAATATTTTATTTATTTCTAAAATTTTTTAGTTGTTGATAGACCTTTATTTTATTTATTTACACATGGTGCTGAGAATCGAACCCAGTGCCTCACACATGCCAGGCAAGTGCGCTACGGCTGAGCCCCAACCCCAGCCCTAATGAAATATTTTAAAAATTAAAAATATTTTAATAAAAATATTTTAAAAATTTTAAAAAAATGTCAAGGCCAGAGCTTTGCACATACTGAAGCAGGTTTTAGTATGACTACCCTCACAAATTGTTTTTTTCAGATTTACTAACCTGCACTTTAGTGTCAGTCACATTGATGCATCTTGCAAGTCCCTTTCTGTGGAGAGAAAACAACAGACATTCAGTATTCAGTATTGTGGATAAAATATAATATAGCATGTGCATTCTGTGCTTAAATTAAAATTATAATCTCCCTTCACAACTCCTCAAGTATACTTTTCTGTAACTCCCTGGAAAATTTTCACATTAGAAATAGGTTTAACTCAGACCAATGGTACAGAATAGAGAACACAGAGACTAACCCATAAAGTTACGATTATCTTTTATTAGACAAAGGTGCCAAAAACATGCACTGGAGAAAAGATAGCATCTTCAACAAATGGAGCTGGGAAAACTGGAAATCCATAGGCAATAAAATGAAATTGAACCCCTATCTCTCACCATGCACAAAAGTTAACTCAAAATGGACCAAGAATCTAGGAATTAGGGCTGGGGATGTGGCTCAAGTGGTAGCGTGCTTGCCTGGCATGTGCGGGGCACTGGGTTCGATCCTCAGCACCACATAAAAATAAAATAAAGATGTTGTGTCCACCGAAAACTAAAAAATAAATATTAAAAAATCTCTCTCTCTCTCTTAAAAAAAAAAAAAAAGAATCTAGGAATTAAACCAGAGTCTCTGCGTCTAATAGAAGAAAAAGTGAAAAAGTAGGCCTTAATCTTCATCATGTTGGATTAGGCCCCAACTTCCTTAATAAGACTCCTATAGCACAAGAATTAAAACCAAGAATCAATAAATGGGATGGAATCAAACTAAAAAGTTTTTTCTCAGCAAAGGAAACAAAATATAAGGTGAACAGAGAGCCTACATCCTGGAAGCAAATTTTTACCCCTCACACATAGGATAGAGCACTAATCTCTAGGTATATAAAGAACTCAACAAGCTAAACATAAAAAAAAAACCTAAATAATCCAATCAATAAATGGGCCAAGGACCTGAACAGACACTTCTCAGAAGAGGATATATAATCCATCAACAAATATATGAAAAAATGCTCATTATCTCTAGCAATCAGAGAAATGCAAATCAAAACTACTCTAAGATATCCTCTCATTCCAGTCACAATGGCAGCTATTAAGAAGACAAACAACAACAAATGTTGGCAAGGATGTGGGGAAAAAGGCACACTCATACATTGCTGGTGGGACTGCAAATTGGTGCAGCCAATTTGGAAAGCAGTATGGAGATTCCTTGGAAAGCTGGGAATGGAACCACCATTTGACCCAGCTATTCCTCTTCTCGGACTATACCCAAATGACTTAAAAACAGCATACTACAGGGACACAGCCACATCAATGTTTATAGCAGCACAATTCACAATAGCTAAACTGTGGGACCCAACCTAGATGCCCTTCAGTGGATGAATGGGTAAAAAAAATTTGGCATTTATACACAATGGAATATTACTCAGAACTAAAAAAACCCCCAAAATCATGGCATTTGCAGGTAAATGGATGGCGTTGGAGAAGATAATGCTAAGTGAAGTTAGCCAATCCCAAAAAAGCAAATGCCCAATGTTTTCTCTGATATAAGGGGGTGACTCAAAGTGGGGTAGGGAGGGAGAGCATGGGAGGATTAGATTAATTTTAGATAGGGAGGGAAAGGTGATTAGCAAGGATAGTGATGTCATCATTGTACAAAATACATGTATGAAGACTTGAATTTGGTGCCAACAAATCTTATATACAAACAGAGATATGAAAAATTTTGGTATATATGTGTATTAAGAATTATAATGCAAAAAAGGAGTACATGTATAATGGCAAAAAAATAAGCATCTGAAACTATGTAATTTAGAAAACATCAATAAAAACATGAATTCAAAAAAAAGAAAGAAAAAGAAATGGGTTTACCTCATCACAAAATTTAAGGTGACAATAACAGCTCAGTGGGCAAGACATAATTGTAACTCACTGTGTTATAGAATAAAAATGACTACAAAATCTATAATTAACATAGAGGGAGGGAGGAAGGAGGTAAAAGGAGGCATCCTGGACTAAAATTAAACAAATTAACTCTCATGCGTGTATGATTATGTCAAAACTAACACAACTATCATGTATCATTATGATGCAATCATAAAAGCATAAAAACATCAAACATGGACTTTTCATAGGATATACCAAATCCATTTCTGGGTATACACCCCAAAGAAATGAAAACCTGGAGTTGGATATTTGTCCACCTATGTTCACAGCAGCCCTATTCATAAGAGCCACATGAAAAAAACATCCCATTTGCCTTCCACATAAACGCTCAAATGAAATACATCCATATAATGGAATATTACTCAGCCTTAAAAAGGAAGGAAATTCCAACACATGCTACAACATGAACAAACCTTAAGGACATTACACAAAAAGATACAAGGCAATCACTAAGAGACAAATGCTACATGATTTCACTTACATGAGGTGCCCAGAGGAATCAAATTCATAGAATAAAAAAGAATGGTAGTTACAGGGCGCTGGGGAGGGGAGGTGTTTAACGGTACAGAGTTTCATTTTGTCCACATTTGGATGTTTCTGGAGTTCTGTCCCACAACAATGTGCAAATACTTAAGGCTGCTGAAGGCCAACTTCAAAAGTGGTTTAGATGCTAAATTTGTTTTTGTATTTTACCGCAATTTGAAAACAAAAACCAAAAGGAGCAGCCACCAACCAATTTCCAGACTTAATTCATGACAATACTGCATGAAAAAATTGACCTGAATTCCACAAGGTAACCCGCACAGAGCAGAAAGGCAGGTGAAGACCCCAAGGGCTTTTGCTCACAGCGGGCAGGGCAGAATAGGGGCCAGAGAGAGAAAAGTGACCCCAAAAAGAACCTGAACCCCTGGAGACTTTAGACCCTCTCAAGCCAGTCACCTACCTGGTGGCCATGTCAGGGTATTGAGTAACTTGGAAAACACTTTCCAGTTCCTGCAACTGCCACTTTGAGAACTTGTATTGGATTCGTGGACGGGTGCCCCCAGGCTGCGGAACTGCAGCAGCCTCGTTTGCAGACTGCCCGGCCTGTTGCTCCTGCCGGGGCTGCTGCTTGCCACCATTGGCCTCAAGGTAGTCAATGCCTCGGTGGTTCACAGCGCCCTCATGGTTGAGGTAACCTTTTTGAATCACGTCTTCCATGAGGCCTATAGCTCCTTCACGGAAGTGGCCACCTGCAGCGGGGGTCGGCACATCCTCTGCAGCTACCGCTGCTACACTTTCCCCTGCTTCAGCTGCTATCTCTGTATTATAAGCCCCCAGACCATAATAGTTGGGGTCACGGTACTGGTACCAATTTGCCATGGCTGCAATACAACAGGTCCCAGCTGGCCTCTACAAGCACACTTTGACCAGCGATAGAATAGAGCGGTGACTCAGGGTGGAGCTAGTCCTAGAGATTTGTATTTGCCACGGTTTACGGCACGTTCAACGTGCACGCGCTACTCTTTTGAGGATTGCTATTGGCTGTATGTTTGCCGCCAGTTGTGATGGGCGGAGCTAGTTAGGCGCGAAGTAATGGGGCGGGACCACAAAGAAAGGCTGTGTGGAGAATTGTGCCAACCTGGGGCTTGTGCAGAATGGGGGCCTGATTGGCCTCTTAGATGACTAACCACAAATGAACTACAAATGGCCTTCCAGAAGGGACTTTGTAGAGGATGAGAGCTCATTCTAACCACAGGTCCCCCTGTGTGAACATCAGGAGAATACCTCAGGACCACGGTGCCATCTGTAATTCACCATGCGGCACGAGACAGGAATTCACTTGACCTGACCCGCTAGCGGGTGGCTTGCTCAGAGTTCCCACAGGGAAACTGCAGCAAAGCCAAGCTCCCAGAAATGCTGCAGCGGCATCTTGGGCCTGGTTTGCAAAGCATTCTGGGTCAAGAGGCACACTCTGTGGGAAACCCTTTGAGTCCCTTCAGGAAGTCTAAATGCTGCCCATTTTCAGTATCGAATCTATGACAGAGTCCAGGTGTAAAACTTTGAGTAGTGCTGGTCACATTCAAGAATTATCAGGCTGACCCGGGTGTGGTGCTGCATGCCTGGAATCTGAGGAGCTCGGGAGGATGGTGGGTTCAAAGCCAGCCTTGGCAACTCAGTGAGGACCTAAGCCACTTAGTGAGACCCTGACTCAAAATATAAATTAAAAAATAAGTGCTAGGAATGTGGTTGGGTGCTTAAGTGTCCCTGGGTTCGATCTCTGGTACCGCTGCCTGGTGTTGCTTACACTGGATTGCTTATGCAGGATCATGTTGTGGTAAAGATATATTAGTTAATATTCAGAAAATACTTAGCACAATACCTGTGGCTTGGGTGGCTTAGGCAGCAGGATCCCAAGTTCAAGGCCAACCTCAGCAGTTTAGCAAGATCCTGTTTCAAAGTAAAAAAATAAAAAAGCACTGGGACAGCTGGGTTGTGGCTCAGTGGTGGAGCACTTGCCTGGCATGTGTGAGATGCTGGGTTTGATCCTCAGCATTGAAAATAAGTAAATAAGTAAATAAATAAAGGTACACTGACATATATATACATGCACTGGGAATACAGCAGAGTAGCAAAGTGCCTTGGGTTTAATCCCCAGGACTCCCAAAAACAAAAAATCAAAAAATTGGGGCTGTGGTTATAGCTCAGTGTTAGGGTTCTTGCCTAGCATATGTGAGGCACTGGGTTCTATCCTCAACACCATGTAAAAATAACTGAATAAAACCAAGGTATTTTGGTCAATCTACTACTAAAAAATGAAAAAAAAATTTTTTTTTTCTTTAAGCCAAGCATGGCAGAACATGCCTATTGTATCAGCTCTTTGGGAGGCTGACGCAGGAGTGTTACTTGAGTTCATGAGTTTGAGACCAGCCTGATCAATACAGTAAGATACCATGTTTTTTAAAAAAATATTTTTTTAGGTGTTGATGAACCTTTATTTTATTTATTTATATGTTGTTGAGAGCCACAGCCCAAGGGGCCCCAGCAAACTTCCAGCTGCCAGCTGATGATTGGCTCACAGTGGTCCCAGCAAACTTCTAGCTGCCAACTGATTGGCTCATCTGCAGTGATGCTCATTGGGCTGTTTCCCCGCCCTTACAGACCACAGGAGCTGCTCATTGGGGGACTTTTTTTGGCTCCGCCCACGTGACCCAGCCAATCTGCCTCAAGAGCAGGAGGAGTGGGGGAGGTTGAGAGGCTTGTGGGAAGCCGGTGGTGGCAGTTGGGCTCTGAGGGTTTTCCTGAGGAGCTGTGTGGTGTGGTGTGTGTGTTCTAAAAATAAAGTTCGTTTCTTTTGACAAGTGGTTCCTGAATTGTGCCCAGCCAGACTGCGGCATTTGGTGGGCCACACAGGGAACGACTGAGGGTAAGTGATAAGGTAAACTGCTCGCCCCTGAGGGCAGGGCAAGAGGATGGGTAGCCATTTTAAGATTCTTCTTTTGTTTCACTTTTGTTTTAAGTTGCCTGTCCCTGGAGATGAGTGAGACGGAAGAAAAACCGCTCACATCTGAGGAAAAACTATTTGCGTCTGAGGAACAGATAGGGAGAAAGGACGGATGCACATGTCAGGAGGATAGAAAGGCTATAATGATTTTGTGTTGTTCCATTTTTGTTTCATTCTGTCTTGGTTTTGTTTGGTGTTATCTTGTTGGGTTGTATTATAGTAGAAATATGGGATCAGAAATTAGTAAAAAAACAAACCGAAAGAGTGTTAAGTAAATTGTTAGAGGAAGGAGGCATCTCAGTAAAATCAAGAACAGTCAGGGCATACGTTGATACAATACAAAAATGTAGCCCATGGCTTTTTAAGGAGGAGTTGCTAAATATATCACAATGGAACCATCATGGTGAAGATTTAAAAAGAATAGAAAAGAAAAGCCCAGGGACTCTGCCAGTTGGCACATTGCCATTGTGGACGTTCGTATCTTGTTTGCTTAGTCCAAAGCCTTCAGTTCAGACAATGGTAGAGGAAGGAGAAGACATTGATTCAAGTAAAAGAGAAGGTCTCTCAAGTTAGTCAGACAGAGGAAA